TCGCATCCCTCTTTTGGTTATTAACGCTAAAGCTATCCCTATTTCGTAAGTACCCACTAGTGATCCATAACCATGCTGGTAAAAAGTTCTTTCCACCACTATTCCATGAGAACCTTAAAGATACTCATAATTATGTTATCCTTTCTTTACAAGAGAGCCATGAGGATGAAGTGTGAGCTTTGAGCGCAAACTGCAAATTTTCTAAATACCTTGCCAAAAACAACTAGTTTTACCTCATAATGCTGAACCTGTGTATCAAATTGTTATTTCCTAAGCGTGCCAAGTTGCCAGTAAGTTTTTGAATAAATCAGCAAGCAAATTTGCTGCCTTTATCTACCACAACGATAAACCATAAAAATAAAAAGAAAAAATAGTGTTAGAAAAAGACCAAAAAAAACTGTTAGGATTTTGATCATATAGTGAGAAAGGGTCAGTGGTACGCTAATAAGAGATCCTAAGCACCGTTAACTTTTTTTTTATTTTCTCTTTTCGCCTATCTAAAAATTCGAAGGAGCAATAACCACTACAGCTATAAAGTCGCCAGACACCGCGAAAAAAGTTAAAAAATAAACAGAACAGTTTCACGACAACACAAAAAAGCGTTTTTCTTTTTTAAAACTGAACGATCAGTTGACTCAACTTCAAATTCAGATAACGAACAACTATTAACACAGACAAATAACTATCACTGCATAAGTGTAAACGGCCTCAAGCAATATCAGAAGTATTAAAAATTTTAGCGTCACTTCATCCGCCACTTTTCATCCAAGGAATCTTACCTACACCTAGCAAATGCTTGTTACAAACCCGATAAAAATTTGTAAACTAGTGGTTTTTAGCCTTTGAAAAATCCGAATGGCATTAAGACAGAATATACTAGCTCCAACCGTCAAAACACTACAAACAGTATCTGTAAATGATGCAAAAACCAACAAAACTGAAACATGTCATAAATTATAAGTAAACAAAGATTAAAAAAAATAATAATAAAAAATTTTTTTTTGCCGATTAGAAAGTGATAGTTGACGGAACCACAAAGAAGTTGCACAAAACTAACTTCAAGCTAAGAACTTCACCATCTTAGACAGTTGTCTGCAAAAATTGGCCTACTGCTATGTAAACTGAACAATACGTCTTGCAGTTAGTTAGCATACGGTAAATTTGTGTTTCTTGTCAACAGTGAAGCCGACAAGTGTCAACTTCGGGAACACTTTTCATTTCACCACCGACTAGGAATCAGATTAAGAAAAAAAGAATCTAACAACATTGATAAGTAGAAAGATATAGCATAGGATAAAATATAATAATCGTTTTTTGTTCTTCGTTTCTTAGACCATAATGCCATGAAAATGTTAAGAATCGCATATTATATAAATATAATGTAATAACAAGATTGCAAATATTTTGAGCGTCAAAAAGATGTGATAAAACCTATAAAAGTTGTATTAAACTAACAAAACAATAGTAAAACAAGCAAAATGTTGTCACCAATAAATTTTATTTATCGTTCAGGAAGCTCTTAAACCAACATTTACTTATCCTTACCAAGCCCCTGTCTGTCACATGTGCAAAAAAAACCTTCCCCAGAATCCATGTAAACATCAGTTCCACGTTTAAGACCTTCATTTTACTACCAAAAATGTCACCGTCATCATCATCATCACCACCAAAACAAAAACAAAAACAATAACAACAGTAACCCTCATCCAGTAAACACCTAAGTGGACAACTTGAAGTTCAAGAAGGATAGAAAAACTGACAGTAATACAGCTGACTTCGAGAAATAAGCCATTTCAATAACCTTAGGAAAAATGTAAGAGTGTTAGAGTAGTTAAAATTTTTAATTTTAATTTATACTCTTTGTTCATATTCTAATTTGTTAACAGCTTTCCCATTTTTATTGTCATCACGACATCTGCCTAAATGCCTGCCCTCTTTCTGCACGCCGTTGCTAGCAGTGCGACTCCGTCAGAATTATTTGTTTTCGGTTTTGCGCGCTTCTCACGGTTTACAGTTCCGTTGTCCGTTCCGTTTAGCTGACCAAAAAAAAGTGTTCCCCGATGATGTAAGTTAGCCAACGAAGTTCAGTGTTGTTTAGA